CATTGTTGGGGCTCTTACTTATGCAGTTACTGTCTCCTAGAAACAATTTAAGAGCATACTTCCATGTTTTGGTGCCTTATGTAAGTGGCTGCTTTGTATGAAATGAGGCACTGCTGGCCATGGGACCTGTGAGCGGCGGGTCAGTATACCCGTGTCTTGTGAAATCGGGCACTGAGGAGAACTTGCCCAGGTTTCAAGGTGGTGGTGCCACTTCTTTGCAGAAGGACCTTCTGCTTCCAGATGAACTTCTCATCCCAGAGCTTGCTGCTGATCAGGAATGATAGAAATAAACTGAAACTCCTAGGGCAGAGGAAAGGTTAGAGTGATCCAGGCTCCCAGCATGGAAAATACTGGCTTGTTTGGTTAGTTTTTCAGTAATTTAAGTCACAGAGATAATCTATAATGGAATAGATGACACTAACTGCATTTGACCATCCTAATATATTCCAGATGCTTATCTTCACAAATATTGTTAGCTTCCAGTAGACTTTGTGCACAGGTAGTAAGATGAAGAAAAGTCTGTCTTTGAATTTCAAAGTTTTCTTTGTATGTGTGGTTTTGTGCCCTTCTGTCCTGTGTGACTCATGGCACTACACTTTGTATGTCCTGCATAGGCCCTGATCTGCTAGTGAAATTAATAGTTAGCTGGGTGGTGGTAGAAGGGTGCTAGTCCTTGCAGTGGGACTTCAGTAGGCAACTTTAAACTAATTTGACTTCCCTAAAATCCAGAAACTCATGTGCCAGTTCAGGAAGAGGTGGTGGTGTTGCCTTGTCCTGCTGTGCTGAGTGCTGTAACTGTCACAAGATGTGTAGATGCTTCAAACCTGCTTGACAGTAAGAAAAGCAACTGTTTCACTACTGTTTTCCTTTAGAACAGTGTTTCCACTTAGAATAGGTCTTTCCCAGACAGTCGTTTGACCTGTTGATGGAATAATAACTGCCATTATAAGTGGGGTGAATGGGAAGAACACACTGCTCTCCTGGAAGTCAGATGGCCGGCTTCCTGCTTGTTGCCTGTTTGCTTTATGACCTGGGAGTCATCTCCCATTATGTTTGTTTTGCCTCTTTTCTAGATGGCAATCTGTTCAGCAGAGGAAGTGCCTTTTACTTCTGTGCAGGACTTGGGCTCAAGTTGCTCAGGGGAAAAAAAAAACCTGCAGCTGGTTGAGAAGTCAGTCACTAATTTTTGCTAACCAAATTGTAGCTGAGATAAATTTGCCTGAAGAGTACTTTCCTTTACTGAAAATGACACTATAGCTTTGCATGCAATGAATTTAAAACCATGTAAAAACTTTAAAGTGCTCATGCTAGCTAAGCTTTTCCTATTTTAAATGTGCTTGAAGCTGCTTCAAAGTAGAACCTTTGCTGCTCTAGGGAAAAAGCACTTTAACTCTAGATACTGCATGAATTTACCAGCGACTGTCGGACTTTCTTTGACCTGCCTCTGTAACGTAGTTTGTAAGGGAGAGATCCTTCAGATAATTGATGGAATAACCTTATACGTCCAATTTGAGGCTATTGCTACAGATGGTTTGCTTACTTGGATGCACTGCTTGGCATAGCCCATGGCTGGAGTTGATAATAGCATTTCAATTCAGTCTCATAAGGCTTTGTTTCTACTAGTAGTGGAATTGAGACTGAAATAAAGAAGGTGAAATTATGACCCTGCTGAAATCATTAGCAAAGCTGCCATTGACTGAAGTAAGGCTAGGATCTCTGCCAAGGGTTTTAGTTGTTTAATTTATGGTAACACATTAATTGAGTTGTATTAAAACAAGGTTTTGAAAAAGTTAATCTTTAGCTTCATGATACCATCTCCATTCCATAAATATTGTACATAGTGTTACTAAAAGTTTACCTTTTTTGGGCAGGTTGATAGAGGTAGAAGATTTTAATTTATTTTTATAATCTGTGTGTTTGCACTCCTGGGAAAGAACTAAAGTATGCAGATGTCACTATTTCTATAAACGAAGAGGACTTTATCCTAAATCTTCTAATTCTTTTATACTATAAGGCAGCAAAGCTATCTAACACTGTATCCTGCAGGAAATATTTGGCATACTTGTAAGCTCCAGGGAGAGGAGAACTAGGATGATAACATCCATTAGTGTTGCTTTTGAATGAGAACTTGCATAAAGACTTTCTCTGAAAAAAACCACCATTATTAGATTTAAAGACTTTTTAGCAAAAGGAATGTATTGCAAGCTTTTGACCTTCCTGTGCTGTATGAAGCTTTACTGGTGTGTATGCCAGAAAAGCCTGTTGATTAGTAGGCTCTTCTAAAATTCTGTGCTGCCCTTTTAGAAAGTCGACATCTGGACTGTATTTATTGTACTATTTTTCTCTTCACTGGATGTGTCAGAGTAGATTTTCCTCCTTGAAAAGTTAATAAACTTTGTTTCTGTAATTTGACAGAAAAGTTTATTTATCGAGTTTTAAAGGCACAGCTAACAATGTGTTCCCAAGCTCTGATGACAATAAGAACAAATTGTATTGTTTTAAAATGTAAATGTATATATTGCCATACTTCTCTTCTTCTTTTACCTGCTGGAATAGTTTTAGTATTAAGCATATTTTAATACACATCTAGAAACAGGCAAGACTGCTTTTTTTTATTGCTTATCGTCATGAATTATGTTAATGTAAACACTACAGTCAAAGGGAAACTAGAAATAGACTTCAGAAGCAAGAATTGGCATCTGAGGTCTTTTTTTCTACTTATCAATCTTTGCATTTGTCTTGTATGTGGTGACTCTGGGCCAGGTAGAAATGGGATTTTTTCATTAAGAGTCAACATGTGGTGTTCTACTTGTAGTGGTCCCAAAGTACACCAAGTTTGTGTTGCATATTGATGGTATCTTGGCAGAAAGGAGACCCAGTTAGCCATTAGCTAATTCTCAGAGTAATCGTCTTTGTAACCAGCTCTTCAGGTAATACTTTCCAAGTTTTTTCATGCACAAGCAAACCTAGCATAATCAACAAGTTTCAAGGGAACTACCCTCTCTAACTCTGGAAAGTTTTGAGTGATTGAGTACAATGATTTCTAATCTTTCATATTCTGTATTATTTTCCAACAGTGTTTGTCTTGTGAGGAAAAATGGAACAAAAATGGTTTTAGACAAGTTGATGTAGTTGCTTCAGAGAAGGAGGTGTCATCAATAAAATAGGCTGCCTTTAGTTAACCCTCTAGTGTTGCAGGCCACAATCTGGTAACTGAGGCTATGATAAGTATACCACAGCTTGTCTGTGGAATAATTTTGTGCGGTGTTTTCAGTTAAGTTTTCTCCTGCAAAACCTAGGGGCTGATACTGTTCTGTCATGTCAAACAGGTGAGCTGTTTCACCTGAAGCTTGTACCTAGCTCTTGTAGGCTACTCTTCTGTGATGACTTTGCTAAGCTACTGTGAGCGAGCTTCTTCAGTCCTCATTGCTTCTTGCTCATGGATGGAGAAATGCACATACTGCCATCTCTTAGCAAGAGGTCACCTGTGCTAGCGCAGTCGTCCTGTGGGGTTTCCATGATTTAAGAGGATTGGAAGGTAAGGAGAAATGAGATTGTTTTAGAGTCCATTCTCTTTGAAAATCTGGGGTAATATCCTTTCTGTAGATGCAAAGTTAAAATTTCAAGTGCTATATTGCCTCATTTTTGCAGATGTTAAGTGTAATGTGAGGACAGGGATGCTTCTAAGCTGCCTTTCTGATCAAGAAGTGCAGGTCTGAAGGTACTAAGTACCTAAGTAAATGCAGACTAGTTACAAAACTGGCATATGCAGCATGGTGGAGGAAGGTATTTATGAAGACTGCAAAGGAAACGTGCTTAATTCTCCCATGGTAAATTAACATTTCCATTGTAAAGTATCTTAGCTGAGAAATACTCAAGCACACAAAATGTGTACTTCTCATTCTTACAAAGTAGTTGGCTTCCAAACTTTAATTTCTGAACAACTGTTGAATGACGCAAGTACTTTCACTCTTTTCATGCAAATCCCTATAATAAAATCCTTTTAATCTTCACACACTTCAGAGTTGCTAGTGGTGGTTGTTGGTTCACTTGAAATGGGATCTTTCTCCAGTAGTCTACTGCCATTGAATCATGGCTAAGTTAGACCTGGTAATCCCTTTGATGTGTGGATTTATCTGAAGACCAGACCTGTTAAAAAAAAAAAAAAAGCTGTAGTAACATCATTTGTGACTGCAGTGATGTGAACTTGGTCACATTTCCTGCCTAGAATATTGCATATGTAAACCTTGCAATAAATTCTGTCTAAACATGTTCTGCTTTAAATCTGCCTCTATCTTAAAAACAAAAGGTGCGTTTGCTATCTTTATTGATCTGCGTACTCTACCACTCTGCACTAATAAATTAATTTCTTAATGAATTAATGTAGTCCTGTGGCCATAAATATATTTTTAAACTAGCTAAGAATCTGTCATAAGCAGCACAAAGAATCTTTTTGTTTAAAATGTGTTTTACTGTACTTTGAAACTGGCTTCTAAACATACTGAACGTTTCCATCAACTTGGTAATTCTCATAACCAGCTCCTGGTATACAAAATATATTAAACTGATGCTAAATATAAAACTATATGTGTATATACACACACACACACATATATATATAATGATTTAAAAAAAAAATATGTATCTGCACTCTGAAAAAACTCTGTCTCTGGCCTTGAGATCAAGGCAGAGGACATGTCTGTTTCTTGTCACTTAAGGTAACAAAGGACTTCAGGCATACAGTCAAAAGTTTTTAATCAAACTAAGGTTACGCATTGTATCAACATCTTAATGTTAAGGAGATCTTTAGGATGAAGAAAGTGTTTTAAACAAATATCTTGTAGTTCCCTGCAACATCAGTGCTTTTGGTTTTAGATGGTTAGTGAAAGTCTGTTGTGTAGTCAAAGCCATAAATGGGATGAAATGAGGTTTGCTATAAACAAAGGATTGATAAGTTGTTGAAAATTAATTTTGAGGAAAATGTCTGAAATGTTTTGCAGAGGTGAATCTGGTGCCGGGAAGACTGAAAACACTAAGAAGGTTATTCAGTACCTTGCTCATGTTGCTTCCTCCCATAAAGGAAGAAAGGACCATAATATTCCTGTAAGTTGGGATATTTTCTCATTTGTTTATTGCTCTTTTTGAAAACTACCATCTTTGCATTAAAAAACCCCAACTTTTTTATTAAACATAAACTGTAATATAATCCACATAATTTTGTCTCAACCATTATTTTCTCTTTAGTAGTGGCTGAAATGAGCAGTTGCATCAAAATTTCCAGTTAATGTTAGCTGTTTAACTTCTGTTGTGAAATTAAAAGCTTTATGCAAGCATTTTAACTAGAAACAGTATCAAAACTTTTTGATGCAGTAAATCTCAGTTTTCCAAAAACATAATTAACTTGGGCAATTCTTAGTGAATTTCGTTCCTACTAGATGCCGTTTTCAGTACTATATTTGTGAACAGGCTTTCTGTTATTTCAAAAATTAACTTGTAGATGGGAAAAATCATCAAGCTTAAAAGCTGCTGTAGACTTGCTATATCTGGAAGTCAGCAGCTAATAAAAGGCTCAGATTTTATTACATTAGAAGCAAGAGAATATACACTTATGTGGGAGAATCTTGTTTTTTTTGGTAACTTGTCACTAACTCTGATTTATGTAGAACTTTCTTCAGATTTACTGCCAGACTTCAAAATTTGCACTGAATTTTTAGCAATTCTTTGCTTTAGAAAATATGAATGGGTTTGAATATCTGTTGCTATGAGCACTTGGATCTCTTTGCAGTGAAGTATTAATTTACCTTTGCTACAAGCAAGTGTCTTGCTGTAATCAATACTGGCATACACCTGCCATTCTGCAGTAGTACCACAGGTGTCTCTGGTGATTGGAAGCTTTCAAACAGTATCATCTGATTCAGCAGCAACAACTTCTGTAACTTCTAGTGCATGGCACTTGACACATTCTTGAATGTCTTAACATTAAGACTCAAACTCCTGGAAAAACAGGAGGTGCCTTTTGACCAACCTGTGAATTAAAAAAAAAAAAAAAAAAAAGCAAAGATTTGAAGTGGGAGAGAAGGAAAGATTGCTCTGCAGGTGGATTTGGAGAAATCTAGTTAAATGTATGGGGAAACTTTAATCTTTGCTCTAATCAAAAGCAAATAATGTGACCTTGTGCGTTGATACTTATTCAAACTGTTGCTGGTTTATCTCTCAGAAAAGATCAAAAATAGTCTAAGTATTTATTGTGCAGACTGAGTGTGCTGCTGGTTGTGTGCATATCAGTTGCAGGCCTTAGAAGGAAGTTTCTTATGATTGGAGTGTCAGCAGTATTAGGTGTATGTTCATGGCATTGCATTGTGTGTTGGGAGAATACGTGGCTCTGGGGAATGCTGTTTAGAACATCATCTGTCAGAATTGGTTTTCTGTCTAGGTTGTGATTTATGAATATTCTTGGCTTTACTGCTGTGCAGCCTTGAACAAAACTGGCATTTTCTTCAATTTCTATAGGAGTAAAATTGCCTACAGCTTTTTTGGGGAGAAGGGAATTATGCAGAGAAGGGAATTGTGCAGAGTTTGTACCAAGTACTTCTAAATATACTATTGACAACTTGGAATACCTCAGGTTGAAAGAGACTTCTGGAAGCCTCTTGTCCAGCCTCCTTTCAAAATATGCTTTCCTTCAAAGTTAGACTACATGGCCCAAGACCTTGTAAAGCTGAGTTATGAAAATCTTGAGGAATGGAGATTATGCTGCCTCTCTGCGAATCTGTTCCAGTGTTTAACTACTTGAAGCCCTATTTTTGATTGTTTAAAAACTGCTCCGTGTTTGTTTGGCTTTTCTTGTGCTGTGTTTCCATAAGCACTTTATGCCACTACCTTTGCTAAAAGAAGCACCCCTTTTTGAGCTTTGTCGTCGTAACAATCCCTTTGGCCACCCACTGGACTTGGAGACTGATGCAGGCTCAAACTAGTGTTCTTAAAAAGTCCATCTGGCTTTAAATGTATCAGATTTCCTCCATTGTTTATTGCATAGTTGCATAACTGCTATGAAGTGAAGGCACAGAAAAGAAAAGGGAGAGCTGAGGTGGAAAATGTCAGTGAAGGGAAGGATGAGTTGCTCTTTTTAATGCAGTGTTGGCTAATGCCATTTAAATCACTGGTTGAACTGCAACTTAACTTCTCTAGTTACCACTGTGGTCAAATGGGATATTAGTGTTCATCTCAAAACAGTTTTGAAGATGGATGTAATCAGCTGCTTCATGAACCATTGATGACTGTCATGATGAAGACTGAAAAATTTTTATTCTTTGTAAACCATAGTTTAGGCATAGTAAGAAGAATCAGGTAGTGTCCTGAATAAAAGTTTGATACTTTGATCATGCACTTCACTCAATGCACTACCATAGTAAGCACTGGATTAAGCATATGTTTATGAAAAATGCAGAATATTTTGTGCAGCCAAAATGGTTGCAAAAGTTTTGAAAATAAAAATGAGTCTTCCTTGTTCTGTAACAATTCATTTTTATCTGTATATTGCAAAAAAAGAATGTCTAACATATACACCTAACACTCAAAAGTTAGGAAGTCTTTGAATTGGGGTTACATATGCAGCCCTAATATTCGTTAAAGAACTGTAGAGGGCTGGTGGTGATCCATAGTACCCATCTGTACAACCTTTGCATTATCCTGTGCACAGAGAGGATGCTAAATAGGCTTGTTAAAATAGACTGCTAGTCATGGATTTATTTTTATCCATCCTGTTACAAATAATTATCAGTGACATGCAAATTACTAAGACTGTTCTGCATGCTGCATGCGTTTGTTTTTTTTAGTGGTGCGATTTGTATGCTGATGAATGAATAATTATCTTCCCAGCACTGTTCTGAAGTCTAGGGTTAACTTTGTCTGTTTTGCCTGACGGAGTGCTGTAAAAGTATTACAAACAAATGTAGACCCGAGTTTGACACATCAGGCCGTGGCCAGAGTAGCACTGATGTTCTGCCATGTCACAGATGCTCACCAAATACATTCTCCAGCAGTGCTGATTGTGAAATGTTTGGCTTATGCGAGGAGCATCACGTAGGAGCTCTACCCATCCCTTGGACAGCTGCATCACGTTTGGCATTCAGCTTCTTGTTCATGAGACTTTTCTTTCCCAACGGCCCTCTTTCCTAATAGCTAGTGACTGTGTGCCTACAGAGGAGTCCTGCATAGCCCTTGGCATCTCATCCTCAGACAGGGATCCAGTGGGGAATGGAGTCAGTAACACATGGCAAGCACAGAGAGTGGAATTACAGCACTGAACAACCTTAATACTAGCATTTCCTAATTTTTGAGTGTTTGAATCTGTAGCCCCACTGTCTCATTTCCTGTTTAATCCCGAGGAATGTTAAAGGTATTGTCTTGGGCATTGTGCTAGGAAGTGTGGGTAGGTGGTGGTGGTAAAAATATAGAGCTTTAGTAATTGTGGGACTTGGCAGAGCTAGGTGAGACTAGGGTAGTCCCTTAAATTAGGAATAGAGGCTGCGCTTTGTAGAGCCAAGTAATGGAGGGGAGGGAGAAGTACTTGGCAGTGAGTTATAAACATGAGCTTTTCTCAAGACTGAAGGTGGGATGAAAGTGAGCCTGAATCCTTGTCTGTAGTGTGCTTGATTGAGAGTCAGAACTGATCCTAGTTGGCGTGTAGCAAGGGAGAGAAGATGGAAATTATCTGTTGTAAATAACTGAAAGCCTTAGCTTCACAACCAACAAATTTGAGCTCTAAAGAATTTGGGGGGTTGGGGTGCTAGTGTTAAGAACTTTGCTGGTAAATCTGAATATTTTTCCTGTGCCAAGCATATTGTGCTTTATTCAGTTGTTAACCATGCCATGTGTGGACCAGCTTTATAATGACAACAATTGTGCTTTAGCTTGGGCATCTCAGACTAAAGCTGACCCACACTGGTATCTGCTGGTCTGGTAAACTATCCCATGCTCCTAGGCCACACAAAGGAGACTCTCTCACCTTTACTCTCAATTATTCTTCTGTAGGCTCAGGAGGTTGTAGAGAAAGGGATATTTAGAATAAAAGGAGAGGAAGAGAACAAGGACAAGGAATTGGTGAGCATGGGGAGGAGACTGATGGGTCTAGAGAGGATTTTGAACAGGTTGAGCAAGGAAGGTAGGGAAGAAAAGGAGACTTCTAAACTGCTTAGCTTTGTGGCTCATCACTCCCCTGTGTACTAAGTGAGGTAGAAATGAGAGAAAAGAACAATGAAATAGCGTTGTTAATGGATGTGTTAGAGAGTTGCTTTAATATGGTTAAGAAGTGAATCTTAATTCTGACTCTTGGGTTCTGCTTTAGTTTATGAACTTTGTGGTTTTGGATGGGGATGGAAGACAGTGCAAAATACAGAAATAATTAAAAATAGTAATAAAAAAATGCATACATGGCTTTCAAAAGAAGGAAGAGTGCTGCTTGTCACTTTACTGCCCAGGGATTGCCATGAACTTGCATGTTCTACAGGCTGCCTGAGGTTGGGGGGTGCTCTTAGCTGTACTTGTAGACTATGGAAATACCTGGACTGCTGTTCATGGTCAAATACATGAAATCAGCAGATGTTTTCAATCATGCTGGTATGTGAAGTAGTTAAGTTCTATAAAGAACTGCATCCATCCACCACTGCTGTCTCCACTTCCAGTCATCCTGGTACTATGTACCTCTAGTTCAGATGAACAGAATTAGTCTTTTATTCACTTCTTCTCTCCCCAAAGCCTTCCCACCCTAAATCCCCTCTAATTTCACTACAATCCAGCTTTCATGGTGGTGCCATTTTAAGCTTCAGAAATAATTACTGGTACTTTCAGGTTAATGATTCCTTTCACTAACTGCATTTGCCTTTGTACTTTCACTAAAAAGTAATTTCACTAAATAGTGAAATTATTTGTTTTATTCACTTCAAAAGAAACATAATTGGGTTTGAAGTACAGGATCTTAGGTAGGCTTGCTCAGGCTAAAGTTCCCCTTAGTGAGGATTTCCCAGATGGGCTTTACATGCCCTAATTTAAACACAGGGAAGTTACATGTGTCTGATTATGCTTGGTTCTGTTTCTACTGCGGACAGAAATGGATACCCCAAGAGATTAGTTAATCTTGTCTTAAGATAAGCAAATGAAATGTCTCCTAGGTCTACCTATCCTTCTCCAGTGATTACAGAAGGAGGGGTAGCTTCATGCTGAAACAGTTAACATTTTTTTAGATGCCCGAGTTGTTTTCCGAGTAGGTATGATGCTGCTTTGCAAAATTCACATCACTTAGCTGAATAAGCCACACCTTTGCCAGCTGCTCTGCAGACCTCTGTCAAAATCTGTTATTCTGCACTAAAACAGTGCTAGTTGTTTAAAATAATAGACATAAATGGAGGAAGTGTGCATCTGGCTTGGTATGAAAATTTTTTGGTGTGTGTGTTTCACCACAATATTTTCCCCCTAAGCTCTCTGATGTGAAGCTCAAGATTATTAAACTTGCAGACTGAGCCAAGGAAATAATAATGAAATAGAAAATTTCTGCATTTCTGCAGAAACTGTGCAAATTCTAATTTTGAGGGGGTTTTGTTTTACCTTATTACATTCATTTTCCTTTTACCCTTCTTCCTGACAAAATTTGAAGATCTTCCAGTTTGTTAAAATTTTACTGCTTCTCAAGTGGATGATCATTCTTGAAAGAAAGAAACAAAACTTTTGTCTTGATTGCAGGTTTGCATTTCTTAAATAGTTGAAGTACAGTGCAAAAACAAAACCCCAAACTCCTCAAGTATTGTTTTCCTGTTGGTTCTTTCATAACCTTTTTTTATTTTTGAAGAATAATGATCATCTTATCCATACAAAACCACTTTGCAGTGACTAAGGCTGTAGAGAAAGTTGCTTGGTGTTGTGGGTTTATTTTTTGTTATTGTTTGGGAAAACTGTGGAAAGCAGTGCACAACTAATTAAACTGTTGCCCTTTTTCCTTGCTGCTCAAGGTCCAGCTGTCATCTTGAGTTTTATTTGGAATTAGTCTTTTGCATAAACACAAGTTTTAGTATTTTGCACATGCAAATAACTTTTCTAAAATTAATTTGAACAGTTTCTATGAAGTGAGTATATAGTTAACCTAAACCTACTGACATTTAATAATTTGGGATATAACTTACAGCTGGAATGCTTGCTTGCTAACATATGCATTTGTTTGTTTGCAATGAACAGCCCGAATCACCTAAACCCGTGAAACATCAGGCAAGTGTTTTTCTTTATGCTTTTAAAGTTATGCAGGCGAACTGATATATATTCTTCTATTTTCTGTCAATTTGTATTTATAACGTATGGGAAATCTTGTAGAGGTATACAGCTAATAGTAGACTTTAAATATTTAACTGGCTTTGAGAGAGTGGACTAGCGAACAGCTTACTAGTTCCTCAGCATTGCAAAGCACTTCTCACCATTGTAAAGTGGTGTTACTCTGTCCTGAAGCAAGAGGTTCACCCTCTCTCTGGCTTACCTCCAATATGCTGAGACAGTGCAGAACACTTAATATTGAAGTACTAAATAAGAGATGGATTAATGGAAACTACAAAATTCTTTTGATTAACATACTGTTTTGTCTGAATATTTTTATAGCTTCTCAGATAACCTGAAATCAAGTGTTTCCCCTGACTTTCTAGGATAAGTGGTGTGAGCGACGTGGTATCACTTGAGTGTTGCTGCCTGAATTAATGTTTCCTCATTTGAGCTTCAGCTGCTCTTATTCCTCAGGTTGGCTGGAGCCGCCATGCTGCCTGTTTCCTGGGCCCCTAATCCCTCTCTTCCCGTGGGCAGCAGTAATTGGTCTGTTCTAAACAGCCTTCTTGTATGAGAGTAGGAGTTGCAGTATTCCTACTGCTATGGAGCGTACTTGTGAAGGAGCATAAAGAGGAGGGTTAGGTGGAAGTTGAGGGTAAGACTGTGGAAAGAGATAAACAATTGCTGCCACGTGTTTTGCAAGATAAATGCTCCACTCTCTAACGTGGGATGGTAAGTGATGTCTTTGTCATGGGTATGAGTTTTTTAATAAAGAAAAAGCTTTGCAACAGCTCCCTATGGTGTAACCAAGGCTTGGTAACTGAAGAGGCTACCATGAGTTAGTTTAGCCGATTGTATTCTTTCCCTTACATTTTTCTGAAAGCTGACTGTAGTGCAACTTAAACTGTAGTGGGAAGGAAAATAATGAAAGAAACTTCAAGTTAGGTCTGGTATGTTGGAAGCAAAAAGAAATCACATGGACAGCTGTGATGCCTTTGCTAGCGTGTTGTAATTTGTTAAACCTCTGTAACCCAATCATGCGTCTGAGCCCACGGTCTCATTTTCAGAAGTTACAGACATTCTTAGTTTTTAACTTAATCTTCCCTCCTTGCAAACCTCTGTCAATTCGAAGGGTTTTTACTAAAATATTTCTCTGTTCCAAAAATAGATGGAGCAGTGTTTAGTTTAACCCTCCTTTTGCTTCAAGTTAGCATGTCAGGGTTGAAATAAACTGTTTGTTGGCAAACATTTTAAATGTATCAGTGGAAACAAGCTAATCCAGAAGTGTTGATATTGCGTAAACCATAATCATTAACATTTCTGTTTCAATGTCATTTTGAACTACAGAGTGGATCCCTGTTGTATGTGAGTAGCATGTAATTTTCCCTGCCTCACCCAGGCTTCACGACGAACCAAATCACTGGGATGCTGGTCTTTCTGAAACTGAGACAATAACCTGTCCTTATCTTAATGTTGACCTGCATGAAATATTGCATGACTTCACTTTTTCCACAATACTGCGATACTGCTTTTTCCAAGTTCTGTTTACATGACTATGCAGGAGATATGCCTATAGGCCAAATTTACACTCTTTCCCAAATGCTGAACGCTTCTAAAAAAGAGAATTGGTTTTTGGCTGTAAAGCAGTCCATCTAAAAAGGAAAGCTACTAAATCAGAAGCAGTTTAACATAGTGTGAGAGGTTTGCTGTTTCTTAGTGATGGCTATGACAAGTCTACTTGCCGAGTGCAAACCACAGAGGCTGGCTAGGCTGTGAGCACTCTGTTCTCACGGCTTTCACCCACATCTGAGGACCCAACTGAGTGTTTTCTTCAAATCCTCAGAGGTGATCGTAAAAATGAGCTACTAAGAACTTTTTGCATTCAGTTGGAGAACTTGAGTAAAATTATTTTATGATGCGTTGCAGAAGTTCCTTTGCACAAAACCAAATTAAGGTTATGGTACACAGAAGCACTTCAAAGCATGGACGAAGCGTGCCTGCAGTGAGATGCTTTCAAGTGGCACAGTGAAGTTCTGTGGAGAAGTCAAATTTTGAAGTCAGTGTGCTTTCTTTTCCAGAATAGCTAGAACTTGAAATGTAAGCTGTGACATGCTTGCTGCGTTTAATATACGTAATGTGGTTTATTTCAAGCTGTGTACAGCATGGTAAGCAAGCTTCTCATTTTTATACTTGGTGTCTTAGCAGGAGCTGACAGCATGGTTGGGAGAGGGGAATGGGAGGAATGGTGTAAGGAAATGCTTTCCCACTAGCTGATACGTTTACATAGGAAACTTTCAGAATATAAATCACAGATGTGCATATAGTGGTTATAACAGGTATCTAGTTTTTCTCCAATTGTGGATTTTTTTTTGTCAACTTAAAAGTGCTCATGAGAACTGTAATATTGGCAGACCTAACATATAGTGCGTAGGAACTGTGGCCTGAGTAGTTTTAGTGTGCTCTAGGCTGACTCGCACATTTATTTCTTCTTTAGTTACTTCAGAATAGAGAGAATATGTAGTCCCAAAGGGAATATATTCAGAAGTAAACAAGTTTTGAGCAGATAACTTGAGGTCACATTAAAGAATGAGCCACTATTCGTTTCCAGGAGGACTTGACATACATTTCAGTATACAAATAAAAGCCTCATTTAGGTGTTAACTAGTGAATTTTAAAAACTCCTGTGTAAGAATTTACCTCATGTGCAAGCCTTAAGAGACTTACGTTTCCCATTCTTTGATGCTCAGTCTGGGACCTTTATTCATTTATACTACAAGTAATTGGAAAAAGCAGGTTTGTGAACACAAATGTCAGTTCTTGAGACTACATTCCAGACAGCTTCACTTTTTTTTTTTTTTTCTTTTTTTGGTAAAACCATCCTTCAGAGCAGGAAGACAATATCATATTTTTCTATGTACATACATGTCTCCTGGGCTTATGGAAGCAGCACAGACTTTTTTTTGTTACCAGACATCCTCATGGACAGCAATTGTAAAAGCTGTTGTGCGGTTTCCTTAAGATAAGTACTTTAATTTCTACATCCATTGGCTTGAACTTAAGCGTTTAAAAAATGCATTAAACATACTGAGCAATGTTGACTGAATTGAGCAAGTTGAAGACGATCTTTGTATTTGGTGTTGCTCAGTTCCCACTATGCCATTCTGGCATGCTTCTTGAGTGCTTTCAGGTCAGAGATGTTGCAATGATATGAATGTCTGGCTGATTGAGAGTATTTCACTGATTTGAAAGTAAGTTTGAAAATGGGTATTCCAAAGTAGCTGTATTGTCAAATCACTAAACATGAAGTTTAAGAATAACTTTGCACTAAAATCTTAAAACAGTTAAATTAGTTTTTCCTCTTAAGTACTTGGAGTCTGTGCCTTATTTCATTAGCCCTAAATGTGAATTTTCTTTTCCATGTTCAATGATTTTTCAACGTCCATTAAGTCCTATTTGATCACTGCTCTGTTTGTGTGTGTATGTGTGTGTTTAAAAAAACAAAAAAACCAAAAAAAAACCAAACCACAAAACAACAAAAAAACAAAACCCCAAAACACGTTCTTCACTGGATGGAGGAAACTATCAGCGGATTTAGAAGTGAGGGGAAAAACAATAACCCCCTTCTGAAGGTGGTATCACTGCCACAACCTGGGTAAAATAACTGTCAGGAAGAAGCAGAATGTAGGAAGCCTTGATCACACGTGCACTGTGCTTAAGTCTGTTTATTTTTCTGTTTGTGTGGTTTTTAGGGGGAGCTGGAACGTCAGCTTCTTCAGGCGAATCCCATTCTGGAATCCTTTGGGAATGCAAAGACAGTGAAAAATGACAACTCCTCCCGCTTTGTGAGTTACTCCTTTTCTATTTAGAGTCTGTAAATCTTGATTAGTGTTTATGGAGAAATTCCCTTTTATCAATTTATCTAATTAGTATCAGAAGCTTTCTTTTTTCTTTTTCCTCCATGAATTCAGGTTCTCTTACAATGCTTTCTGCGTTGTGTTGGGGTCACTGAAGATGCATCCTCACTGGCTTTTGGCAAAACTTGCTTTAATTTCATCCAGTTTCTAACTTCAGCCATCTTTGAACTGACAGTAGTGCTCATAGTATAACAAATATAACTATGCCGTAGAGGTTAAACTGTGGCTTGTGTGCACAAATTACTGGTGAACTACTATAAAGTATGAAGGAATATGGCAACAACATAGAATTTGGCTAAATATGTAGCTGCCTTGTCAATAGCTATGACTTTACCAATTCATTGGTTTAGAGAGAACATCCTCAATTTTTAAAAAAAGCACAAAACTTGCATATAAAAATCTCTCTAAATTCCCATGCCCTTCTGTCTGACTGGTTTACTGAAAGAAAGTCAAAAAGACAGTATGACTTAATTCAAGGTGTTGGGCACTCTTGTAGCTGGCTGATGTTTTTGTTGGGTCAGTGCCTTCTATTCACATACTGTTTTGGTGGCAGATAACTGCTTTTGATGTGATCCATTATTTTAAAAACAGTGATGGAACTTGGGGTGAATAGCTATTTACCACTTCTTAAAACTTCCTTTCCTTTGAAGGTGGAAAAAAAAGCCATCCCCTGTTTCAGGGGAAAGATGGTTTTAATACAACTTTAAAACTGTATAGGAGGTATTAAATCTTTTTTCTTGTGAGAATGAAACTAAAATTTACAGAACAAATGAAAGATTTCTTGGCTGCCTCGATGTTTCAACAGTTGCTTGGATTTATAATATATGAACTCGGCTCTAGTGATAAGGACTCTGGAAAACTGTATGACTAAATCCTTTAAATAGCCTTTTCAATCAAGAAGGGAGAACAGAGTACTGTAGAAATTCAACTTTGATAATTTTATAGCTACATTATTTACAGTATTGCTTGATGCTTATATGTGTTGGGCGTAGGATTTATAATATCAGCAGGTTTCACTGCGCAATAATTCTACTTTGTTACACGTCTTGAATCCATCAAAGATTGTACTAATTTAATGAGGATACTTTTTTCCTAAAAGATGTTAGCATCTGGTTTGTATTATATTGAAGTCTGCGTTGCCATCATGAACATAATCACTCAGATGGCTCCAGCTCTATTTTTATAAAGGAGCAAGTATAATGCACTCCAGATGGTGTCATCTCATGCAGAAAAAATAATTTTTAGTAACAAACATTTTAAAACCTGACTTAAAAAATATATATCCTCCCACAAAGTGAGAAGTGCTGTTGTTCAGCCCATATAGGTTTGACAGTCTTTGCCATGCAGCATGAGGGTGCCAGCCTGTTATGCCAGGCAGGACTGAAATGAGGCTAGTGTCAAATCATATTTTTTTTTTTTCTTTTTTCTTCTACCAAAGGCAGTGTTCTCTTGTGTTTCAGGAAATAAAGTCTATAGCTTGCAGTAGATAGGAGAGTGGGCTTGCTGGGTTCATATTGCAGAGCTAAGTGCTTCCTTCTGATGTGGTTTTTACAAAGCCATGTACTTAGTGCTATAATGATAGTGTAAACAGAATTCAGTTGTTAGATGACCACCACTACAGTCTCTAACTGATAAATTAAAGATTTCATAGCAAGATTTGCCAGTGCTAGCTAAAAGGATGTATTAATATTTTGCTTTTAAGAAGATGAACTAGGTAAGTCACCTCTCTAGTATAGGCTTCAGTGATGACTGAACTTTGAAGCATAGAGTGTGTGGGTCCCCTCTTCTGATGTGTCAGCTCGTTTAATGACTGCATTCCCTCTCAATTATTTTTGTTCATGGAACTGGTAACTTGACAGCAGAAATTACATAACTTTTAAGGATTAAACAGAGTAAAGCGATTCTGAATTATATCAGAAGAAGGCACTGACTAGACCTTATGTAATACTTCATGTTTGTTTTCACATGTAAAATGGCAAATTCAAGCCATGTCATTCTAAGAAGGCTCTGTGGTACATGTTCTGGGTAAAAAGTTGTCAGCTGCCATTCTTGACATGCTAGTGCTGACACATGCATTGTATCTAGTCTGTTGGCTGAATTTCAGTAAAATGTCAGTTCATTCTTTGTGACAGTTAAATGTAGATTTCTGGACTAGTTACTGATAAAAAAGTATAATGCTTCAGTTACAAGCTGAGCTTTAGAGTGTTCTGTTTCTTCATACTCAGCAATCTGAGTTTGGATGCTGGTCCCCGACAGGGCATGCTTGAAAACAAGCCTTATTCCTTGGCATGGTCGTTTTGGTGCCACTGGCTTTTCAGCTAAACTGCAGATTAAGCAGTAGGGAGTGACCATTGAAGCTAACTTAAAGTATTCCACCATTTTTCTTGAAACTTGGAGAAATCACTTTGAGTTGAAGTTGTACAACCACATTCACGGAGCAGTTGCTTTGCTCTGAGACTGACATAAGGCTGGTAGGTAGGTTGTACCTTTCTCTGGATTCACTGGTGTGGTTGGGGGCAGAAACTTGATCACTCTTGTGCACACAAATCTTTTTCACGTGAATGGGCTTTATCAGGGAAGTCGAGAAGGGTAGGATATTCGGGTAAGAAGTTGCAATAGCTCACATGATTGCAGTGACTTGTTCCAGCATAAGTCTGCAGCATGGCAATATACCCCCCAGTATACGCTTACTAGGTCAGGTCATTGCTAGAATACATATATTCTACGAGCTTAGAGAGTCGAATATTTAACAGTACAGTCCCTGAGCTGAATGGATCTGCCAAACAGGAATTCACTTTAACATAATAATAGCACTAATCAGTCAGACTTGAGATAAGTGAGGATTTGGATACTGATGGTAAAAGTGCTTTCAGAAGGCCTCCGCAGAAGATATTAGTAGGTGGCTTTGTGTACGTACTGTCAAAAGCAGCATTTAGACAGTTGTTAGAAAACTGCTGTGATGCTCCCAGAACTCCAAAACCTGTTTGTATGTGGATAGAGGACTGTAGATGCTGGACGGAATGAAAATGGAGATCCCAGTGTAGTCATGGGGTGTTCCCACTGGTTTCTTTACATGTTTGCAACCAGGGGAATACCTAACAGTTTCATGAGCACAAACTTGAAATACAGTAATGGTGCTGTTAGAAGTGGTCCAACTCTAAGCCAGAGCCTGTTGTCCTGTTGGGAATGTTCCTAGCCAAGTGACAAATCAGATTGGGGAACTGATGTGGCTTAAAACTGGTATAATATATCCACTTGCAACCACTTTCTTTGCAAGAGCTGCTCTACATGTGGGAAGTGTGCTCTTTATTTGGTCCTTTGGAAAAAAGGAGATGTACATGGAAGGAATGGGTATGTTTTTTTCTCTTAGTCCTTTTTTAACCAACTGCTAGAAGAGAGGCCATGCAGATAGCCATCCTGGTTTTGGAAACAGAAGTAGAAGTGTGATAGGCTGGGCTGGGCAGTACACTGAGATTCAGGATTGCTGCAGATAAAGCACCTTTAGGCACCAATAAGCTTGCTATAGAAATATGTGCACTTAAAATCTCAGTGTTGCTATCAACCTTAGACAGCATGGTTTGTCAGTGCGAGAAATTGAGCTTCACTTTCAGAAAAGTTTTTCGTAAGTATGGATTACAAACATATCTAGAATACTAGTTCTTTAATCTTTAGAAAGTGTGTGTGTGCAGTATAACATATTCCATTGAAATGATGGCTGAGCACATTGAAGAGAAAAGATTTAATTTGAACTTGTGTGAAATGCTTGTTACATGAAGGGAAGTAGGATTATGTTTTTATATAGACAGCATTGTTGTCTTAATAAAAAATTAGTAATTAAAAAAAAATCTCTTTTTCTTTGCAGGGCAAGTTCATTAGGATTAACTTTGATGTTACTGGTTATATTGTTGGGGCCAACATTGAGACATGTATCCTACTTCATGCCACATCATTGTAAAGTGCAAGTTTCCCCGATTGTTTTGCTTCTAATCCTAGAATTCATTGGAATGCAGTGAAAGGTTACCACATTTCTACATTCCTTTGACAACATCCATCTCTTCCTTTGTTTCAAAATAGCTGATCAAATACCACAAAGTCAGTGTACTTCCTCCTGCTTAGAAATCAGATACTCTAAAATTTAGCACTTTGAAATCTGCTGGATTTTCAGACTAGTCTTAAAGACAGGGTATGTTAAATAAGGAAACCATTTAAAGTGTGCTTGCTTTATGAACATTTCTGGAAAATAAAAAAAAACAACCCTTCCTAATCAGAAGTTGAGCTACTGTGTTGTGCCAAAGCTTGCTTTTGCACTCGTCAGCACTGCAGAAGCAGCTCCCTGCCTGGAGGGAGGTGATGCTCATTATAAAGTGATAGAGCTGGAAGTGCTGGGACACCTTCTGTTTTCTTAGGTCTTTTAGATACCAGTGTAGGCTCAGTAACACAAGACCTACTAGCAATTAATACTGAAGCCTAATTCAGTTTTAGCTTTAAGGTTCGTTTTTTATTTATGATTGTGTAAGAACACGTAAAAATACTTGCACTGAAAGCCCTTCTCTAAAGTTGTTTTCTTTATACTAAAAATAATGTGTGTGTAATGTTTGGGGTTTTTTTTTTTAGTTTGTTTAGCCTGTTTTCTGGGGGAATAGCAATAGGGTGGTCATAAAACTATGAAATTGGAAGTCTTGGTAAACAATATTATGTGAGTATTAATCATAAACAATGTTGAAGTTAAGCTTTCATTCTATTGCTGTGAGTTAAACTGCTTAATTTTAAGTGCATTGAATGTTTATACAGCACAGGAGTGAAGGCAGTTTTTGCTTCTATGAAAGTTCAGGTGAATTGTTTTGCCTAGAGCTTTGTGAAAACAAGAGGACTTAACGCTTAGGGAATTTTTTTCTTCTTCACAAGAACTCATCCTTGCTTGTAATCTGTGCCATTTCAAATCCCTGTCCCATATTTGTTTTAATATATGGAATATCAAGAAATAAAAACTTAAATAACATTACAGCTTATGGCAGCGTATTAGACACTATCTGTTGCACAAGTTGAATTTGGGAGCTGTTTGAAGGCAGTGCAGATTGTATGTAGAAATGCAATGCTTGAAAGAAATGATAAATGTACTTCAGATGATAAAGTACTTTTGAGTTCAGGAGCTGCTGGGTTTTTGGTATTAAGAGGTCAGCAAGAACCTTAACAGAAGTAGTGATTGAAAAAGAATGGCCAGCTCCCCCTCTCACTTAAACCTCAGCTGATCCATTACAGACAATTGTCAGCTGCATGTAGCAGGGAAATGCAGTCAACATCCAAGAAATGATTTTGAAATTAGATGTGGGCTTCTACCAGTCTGAATTTGAAATCTCTTATTTAAAGTTACTGAAAGTTCGTATTGGACATAGTCCTGTTATTACTATTAAAAGTTCCATTTGGTCTTAAAGTCATTATGTAGCCTGCTTTGAAAGTTTTGTTTGCATTGGACATTTTTAAACAAAAATTGTAGAACATCCTTGACTAGTTATAATCAGACTTGTTGGAAAAGTCTCGTGCTGTTCGTCAGGCTAAAGATGAGCGGACATTTCATATCTTCTATCAACTACTAGCTGGAGCAGGAGAACACCTGAAGTGTAAGTTGAGAATCTCATTTTGTAAACCTGTTGCTTCTGCATGCTGTGTTTGTTATTTCAGTATTAACACAGTCACGTTTGAACTATTGTTTGGTCTTGAAACAGTGAGGTTTTAAAAGAAGAATGAAAAGCCAGGTGGCTTTGTTTTGAAATAACTTCTGTGTTTTATCATGCAATGGTTGCTTGACAACATACATTTCACGCAAACGGCTCCTACATGACAAAGTCCAGTTTGGACAGTCTCTGGCTGGGAGTCACTGGATTGAAAGTGCAGTGCTCCCAGCTGATAAATAACAAACCTGGTTAGCAGTGACAGCCATATCTCTTCTAGACCATGCCTTCAAACTGGGTAGAAAAGCAGCCATTTTACCAAAACGTAATGAAACCCTGAGGCTTTCTTCAGCCATTGCAGCACTATGTTGGTTATCTTCTTCTCTCCCCCCGCCCCCCGGTAGCTGGGAATTTCTGTTAGGTTGTGATAAGTGAAACTATATGAAGGTACAGACTTCAGAGAATTGATCCAGTCTTTTTCCTCCTGTATTAGATAAACTGGTGTTTAGCATTCTTGATGTGGTCATCATCAATACCTAACTCCATTTCTGTCTGTGTCTGTTACCTTTCAATAGAGATACTTCTTTTAGGATATTGCAAATAAGGATTTGAGATTATGCTGGATCTGAGTTGGGTAATGTTCTGTTTACAGGCTTAATGCATTAAAGAGCTAATGTAGGTTGCTACGGATAGGGATTCTGGGAATCTGGCTTCGCCTTCTAAGGTACACTCATATTTTTAGAGTTTCTGAAGCTGGTATAATGGCTTGTAGCCATATTTGAGGAACTGATTTTGTGAAGCATAGTTTGTGCATTTAGTGAGAAGAGAGTACAGGTGGGTGTGAACAGCATTTTTTAGCTTATTTTTCTCTTTTCCCCTTCCCCCCAATACAGCTGACTTGCTGCTTGAAGGATTTAACAATTACAGATTTTTATCTAATGGATACATCCCTATTCCTGGGCAACAAGACAAGGATAACTTTCAGGAGACTATGGAAGCCATGCATATCATGGGATTTTCACATGATGAGATCTTGTGTAAGTTATTGAGCCTTTTGGATCTTTAAAGTATACTTTTTTCTCTTGCACACACACTTGCTAATTTAATGTCATAAATTTAATGTTGCTTTGGTGTCTTGACAGCCTGCAGCAAATGTTTGCTTAACATGAGCTAGAGTTGAATTAAAGCCATTTGCCCAAAAAGTACAGTACAAACTTTATTTCCTTTCTGAACTCATACTTTGAATTTGGAAGGAAAGTGACACAAGTAACAGAAGAAAAATTTAAGCTGAGCCCTCTTGAATTAAACTGTTGCATATGTCTTTTGTTAACGCAGCAATGCTGAAAGTGGTATCTTCAGTGCTACAATTTGGAAATATTTCCTTTAAGAAGGAGAGAAATACCGATCAAGCTTCTATGCCAGAGAATACTGGTAAGTTGATCATGTTTGTATGGCTTCCTTTAACTTGCGCTGTAGTTTTCTTCCTGCCGTTTGTTTAGTGCATATCTTTAAAAGTACAGAGTGATCTTCTGAGCTTCCTTGATAGCATTCTGTGCCAAAAAGAGGCCATGAATATTGCAGTAATAGCTAATGGGCAATTATTAAAACTCTTCCCTTCCATTCTTGTAATGCAGACAAATTTAAGTATCCATCAACAGAATATATGCTGTTTGCATTGCTTCTAAACTTTGAACAAGTATTTCAGTTGTAGTCTTGTTTATTGCCATCTACAAAGACTTAAGCACTAGGAAAAAGTGCGTGCTTAAATCAGTTTGTTTTCTTTGGTTCTTGACAGCAGTTTTCTTGCCAATGATAAGAGCCCTGGAGCCAAGCACAACTTCCATAGTGAAATGGCTGAACATAAGAATGCTGTATTTAGAAAAACCTGATTTCTGAAGTGGTGTGGCAGCGAGACTAAGAATTTATCAGTTAGTACCTGCAATGCGATCAGCGTTTTGAGGAGTATATTTCTTACAAAGAAAAGATAGCTGCTGAAGCAAATATCAGGTTTTTAATTTAGTACTTCAGTGCCAGCCTTTTAAATGCTGTCATGAAAGTTGCAGAGTTGACATCAGGGAGAAGAGCAGAAAGAACCATCATTCGCAGGACCTGCTCCACATGCACAACTCAAATTCTTGTCTGTGTTTCGTTTCATAGCTGTCCTCAATTGCTGTGCATGTAGGTTGCTTGCAGTGTCCAAAATTTTTCCAATTTCTCAGGGTGGTGGCCTACTGCCCAAAAGTGTTCCAGCAAGCAGGTATGGATTAAAGTTCAATAGTCATTGACTTGGTATTTGGCTGGCAGTTGGCACTGAGTTTTACAGTGAGGAAAAAAGGTTGGGTGGGATTAGTTTTTGGGGCTTTTAGTGCCAGCTTGGATGGCTTGGCTAAGTCATTGTCCATTTAGAAGGTGAGATGTGGAAAGATACAGATGCTTCTTGCTTCCTGACTATCTTGACTTTTGTTGTATTACCATTATTTTTTGGACATAAATTCTGAATTACAATATTGGATATAAATATGTTGATACTATTGGATATTTTAATACTGGATAGAAAATTCTGAATTATAAAGCAAAGATGCTGAAAAGCTCTGATCATAGTTAAAGCATGCTTCTGTTCTCTTTTATTTAAAAATTAGTTTAGTTGGTTATGTGGTCTTTGTTATTGTATCTTTCTGAAGACACTGAGTGAAACTGGTCTCTCCCTTCTTGTCATCTGTATTGTCACACCTCACTGTAATGGGTTTCCCTAGCATACTCCAGAGAAACAAGTGTCTTGATAGCGATTCATCTCATTTAGAGGCATGGGTCTGAAATGGGTCAGGTTAGTGCCTCCATAGATGGGAAGGAATTTGTTTGGGTACTGGAGATGTGAACCTATTCAAAGAATATGGAAAGCAAGTTCTACCCTATAGATAATAAACATACATAAACAAATACTGGTTTCAAGTATAGATACAAGAGATGGCAAGAAAGCCATATAGCCTTCATGGATGAAGAGGGAGAAGCTGTATTTAAAGAACCATTTCATGCTTACCAGATTTGGAAGAAGCTTTTCTGCTGAAAGGGCAGAGGGTCATAAGCAATCTCATAAAGTTCATGCTTCAACTATAATACAAGCTTTTCAGTATCTTTGCTTTTATAATAATTCAGAATTTTATATCCAAAACCCGATAGAAATAAAGCACATCAGGATAGTCAGGGCTTTCTACAATTGCACCTTTTAAATGGACCTCCTCAGTTATAAACAAAGAAGATGAATTACTTTTTTTTTTTTTTTTAAAGTGCAAGGTAAATCAAGCTGAAATAGTGTAAACCAGTCCTACCCTTAGAAGTGATAGAACTTTGACTTGAAAAGATTTTGTTTCCTTCAGTCAAACCTCTGAAATGCTGACTACAGCCTCCTTCAGTGTCTGAATTGGATGTGATTTTTTTTTTTTAGTATTACCTCTGCTATGGTTTATTGTTACTATTTTTACCTAAGCTATGGTTTATTACAAACTGGAAAGGCAGGGACAATAAATTCCATGTCACAGGTTCATGAAAGAGGAGCTGGGTGTACTGTTTGCAGTACTGGATGGGGAGGGAAAAATACCTCCTTCCTTAAAAATCGTTAATATCCTTTATATGGTATCCATTATGCCACAGTACCAAGCTTATGCTCATAGCTACTTAATGTTTTCAAGTTGTTCTTGCTTTTTTTAAAGATCCTGACAGCACTTGCTACTTGACACCTAAGGTTGTAAGTTTTATCTGATGTACTGATGTATATTTTTAAACTCAAAGCACAGAAATGCTCCTGTATGTAGTTAAAGTGAAAGGAGTGCTCAATTTGTGACGCTACCCTAATTTCACTGCTTAAGTTGTGTGTTGATTCATGAACCCTGCTAATGAATATATGGCCAGACAGAGAATCTCAACATTTAAGAGCAAGTACTACTGTTTTTAATACCGGGGGGGGGGGGGGGGGGGAGGAGAAGGATATGTTTG